TAATTGTTCTACCAATGCATCCGTTTATTAAGTTTCCCGCTCGTTTCTTGATTTCAAAAGCCTCAATGCACTTACGCTCATCATCATTGTTTATGTTGAAATGTAGGATTCTCCAAGTTATGGTTGGCATGTCATCTTCGTTACTCCTGTGGGATATATATATATATATATATATAATTGATGCTTAGGCAAAACAATGCTTGGGTCATAAAATTTCGCTTCTTTTATTGAGTAAATTGTCTTTGTTTATGTCTTTCAAAATGCAAAATTTTTCTTCCAAACATAAATTGCAGCGTTTTGATCCCCCTGTGTACGAAATAGCGTGTTTTAAAATTGACCATTTGATGGTATAATCCTGATTGTTTTCTTTTAATTTCCAAATATGTTTCGAAAGTTCCGTTTTGTTTGAGCCTTTTTTATGACGAAAAGATGAAGTGTGGTTTATAGCGTAACATTCCTTAAAGTGTTTCTGTTGAAAATCTTGTGTAGTTTGTGCTGTAGTGGAAAGTGTTTGTCAATTAAACTTAAGAATTCCCGTCCTATGTTCGTGTTAACACTCTTACTAAATGGTGGGTTAATTTGGTTCAACCCACCATTTAGTAAGAGTGTTAACGCAACACAATTTGGTTCAACCCACCATTTATAGTAATAGTGTTAACACGAACATAGGATGGGAATTCTTAAGTTTAATTGACAAACACTTTCCACTACAGCACAAACTACACAAGATTTTCAACAGAAACACTTAAAAATCAGTTTGACCGTGTAGCTCAGTTGGTAGAGCGTCGATCTAGTAATTCGAAAGTCGCGGCTTCAAGAGCCAGCCGCGGAAGGCAATATCTTTCTGCTTGCGCGCGGTCTGGAAATTATGAAATACACACTCGAGAACATTTTCAACTGCAGCATTTCCTTGTGATAGTAACTTCTGGTAAATGTTATTCATAATGTTTTTCATATAGATACCATGCGGTGTGCAATATCCAATATCTGGCAAGAATTCTGGTGATCTACCTGAACACAGTGTTGAATACTCTGCTTCATCGCTCACCCATGCCGTACAGCCATCAGATTGTAATATATTCAAATATTGTAATGGAGGAGTTACTATGAAAATGATGGATAATGTTGCAGGGATAGTGGCGTTCCGACATGCACATTGTAACATTGTCACTGCTTCCATTGGTAAGTTAAATGCGATTGTAGTCCAGATTGGAATCCGTCTAAATTTATGTTGGTTGAAATGCTATGCAAATTGCTAATAATATGCACAATTTTTTATAAAATATTTATAATGACTCGATGCTGTTTTCTAAAAAATTGAAAATTTATGCTTTAGATACGTGTTTTTTGACAATTATTATTACTTGTTAATGAAACACAGAGGTCTTACTTGTGTAAACAACAGAATTTACAGAACTACCTTAAATGGAAAAATGACATTGGTGATCCACATTCTTATTTCATGCTTGTGATGTTACTCTGAGTGTATATCCACACCGGGAAAGCTTGAAAAATATGCTTGGCCACGGTGGGAATCGAACCTACGACCTTTGGAATACTAGCCCAATGCTCTACCAACTGAGCTACGCGGTCAGGTCGGTTCGAGTATGTGATATTTCGGAACCGAATCGAGTTCCTGCCGGATTAACCATATGGCAGAAGTGGCATATTCCGTGAGCCCCGGGCTTATACTCTCTTCTATTTTTTTCGGAATTTTGTTTCCTGTTTCAGCGCGGGCCCAAACAGTGCGCAAGTGTGGGGCCCCAAAGAGCGCAAGTCTTCCAAAATTTAAAATGTGAGGCCCCAAAAAGCGAGCCCCAAACGGTTTTTTTTTGTTGCCTGTTTATTTTATTTATTTATTTATTAGTTTCGCCATATTACAATACACAATGCTATAACAAGAACAAGAATAATATACATGACTATAGGCAGGGTGACCGCAACAGCGTGAGCTAATTACTGCGGGCACGAATTAGGACATACAAACATAAAAAAACTATCTAAATTAAAACTATAACTAATAGCAGCACTTAAGAGGCTGAACCAGAGTTCGAGCGGTATTACACTTGGTGCATATAGTTTTGAATGTTCTTGGATTTTCAGGATCGTAGGAAATTTCCAAAGCACGGAAGTAATAACTTAGCTAAAATGGACCTAGATTTAAGTGAGTTCAAATTTATCATGTTAAGTTTCAGTTCGTCAGCTGTTCCATGCACGCCCTGGTTGTTCGAATTAGAAACGAGCGTTGATGCGTCGTTGTTTTGCTCTTGGGAAAGACAAACGTAGCTATGTCCGTGTTTATATGTATAAATCTTTATTAAAAAAATATTAAAAGCAACACCTCACAACAAACGTGCGGGCTTACAATTTGCACTTACTTATCAATAATTATTATACTAATTACTGTATTAGTGTTGATATTATTCATTAATAGAGCTAAAATACCATTATTATAATGTTTAATGAAGTTCCTAAGAAGTTAATTTCTAATTTAAAAAATATCATATGAAGTTAAAAAGACATCTATTAACGAACACTCTTTTAAACCTTTCTGTTCGAACTCTCGGTAGTTCGTACTCATGTCCGCGATTGCGTAATTCTAATTGACGACTAGGCGGCAGCAAAACTTGTAGGGCATGGTTGGGATCCGTAGTTATTTTCTCCCATAAATCTCTGTCTTTATTGTTTAATATATCAACAATCGATACCTGATACATAAGATATCCATACTTATATGTACGTTTTAAAAGTTTATCTACTTGACTAAGATACTTAGAATACGACGCACATCCCCAGACCTCAATACCAAAAACTATTATTGATAAAATAAGACTATGGAACAGAAGATCCAGCTCTTTCCTAGAAAACCCGTAGTACTTGCAAATCCGAATAATGTACATTCTGCTACAGGCTTTACTCATTAATTCATCTAGATGCATGTCCCACATGGAAGGATTCTCTTGAAACGTTACACCAAGTATCTTCAACCAACTTTTACGAACAATCATAGGCAGAGGCGCAGGAAGTGGCCGGGTTATCTTGCCGCGAATGACCATCTCCCACGTCTTTTTGTAGTTAATTAAGTTTCATGCGATTTGTTTCCGCCCAGTTGATAATATTGTTTGTTTCATATCATTAATCACTATACAGGGTGTCAAGTTCTTAAATTATGGAAAATATAAAGAATTTTGAAAATAGTAAATTTTGCTATTCAAGGGGGTCATATAAGAGGCGTCACTATCATCTGTGACCTTAATCCCTAGATTATATAAGAGGCGTCACTATCATCTGTGACCTTAATCCCTAGATTTATGTCATCTGCAAATTTAACAATTAAGTTTGAGGCTTGAACAGGACGGATATCATTAATCATTATAGAAAACAGTATTGGACCTAATACTGTTCCTTGAGGAACTCCACGATTTATAGGCAAATATTCTGTTTTAACGCCATCAACAACAACTCGTTGATACCTATTGGTTAGGAAATTGATGATCCAATTGGTAATATAGGGACTAATAGGAAGCTTCTTCAGCTTATTGCATAAAATCTCGTGCGGTACCGTGTCAAAAGCTTTGCTGAAATCAAAAGAGAAGACGCGTACCAT